CCGGGGTAGCCTCGACGGACACGGTGTTCCGTGGTTCGTATTCGGGGCTCAAGCGTGTGATCGTGCGGGGCGCTGCTCGGCGACGCAGGACTCGTGCTTCACCTTTTACGTATAAGCGGGCCAGTGCGTCTTCTGGACTTCTGCCGATGGCTCGATTCGGGAGGTGATTGCGTCATCTCATTTCCCGGATATCGCCTAAGATCTTCTTTTGCCTATGTGCGCGGTCATCCCCCTCGTTCATGCCTCGGACATGGATGTCTCGTAACATTCGTAGTCTCCATCAGCCGTATCCGCTGCTGTAGTTCTGCTTTTTCCTCTTTTCTCGCGAGCGCGGGAAGCGAATCGAGGATGGTTTCGTCGTTCCGTTTTGCCCATGCCACCGATCTTGGTGGTCTGAAATTGACTGTGCCGTCCGGCAGTGACCTGGAGATCTCATTGCGCTGATCGAGCGCGATGGCTGACTGGAACGAGGCTAAGATCTGCGTCGGTCAGTTGTATCGCGCTCACCCCCCCCCCCCCCGGCATTCTACGCACTGACTGGCGGAAATGCCCTGGAGCATGCGATTCGCGAGCCTGGAAAGGGGAGGATAGCAGCATAGACGTCCTTAACGCTTGGTCCTAATCTTCATAACTATGATCTACTTAGACCGTTCAGTTATATTTTGTTCTTTCTTCCTTCCTCTGCCGTTTTCGATTTGTTATTTCTTTCCACAGTTTCCCTTTATACTTCTTACTGTCTCCCAACGGCATAAAGATGGATCCGTCTTTCCGTAGCCGTGGTAGAAACCGCGCCGTCTTCGTGTATCGGACACCATGGATAAGCATGCCGTCCTGCGCGTCGGCGAGCTGGATCCGGTGCGTCTGGTCGCTCATCCCTTTCGCGGTCCGAGCATATCTGTGCCGTATCAGCCCTTTCCCTGCTCCTCGCGCCCCATTTGCATTCCCTTTCCTCTTCGAACCGATCATAGTGGCGCCTCCCTTCATGTTCCTCTTTCTCTCTGCTACCTCTCCAACAACCGGTCGGTCCATTACCAGCTTCCGCGCCTGCCTGGTGTCGAGGGTGCGCGCGCGTCTAGTCGGCGTTGGCCGGTCATCCTATGGCCACTCCAGGGCGGCGGTACAAGTCGCATGCACGCCGTGGGACGGGTGAAACCCGTCTTCGTGCACTCTGCCCAGTGGGATCATGTCGTTGGCGCCGGCCCGACGCCGCACGCGTCGGCGTTTTGCTCCCTCCGTGAAAAACCATCGCCAAACGGCCGCGACGAACGCCGCTGGCAAAGCGCCCCGAATTTTCCCGTATTTTTGCTGTGTCTTCCAGTGCTCTTCTATGTTCTTCCTAACGTCCTTTGCGTATTGCCTCTCTCTTCTGTCTTTCCGTTTCGCCGTGTCACTTTCTTACCATCCTCCCCCATCGCTCCTCACCCCGTCTTTTTCGGCTTCTTTTCTATGACCTTTCTCGTCGCCTCAATGTTATATCAGGTCTTCTCTTAGTCTCCCTTCTTCAGATTTCTACAATTCCGTGCCATCCATTTATCTCCGTCCTGTCCCTTTTCTAATCTCCTGCTTCCCTATTACTTATCCCTGCACTCCCACAAAGAGTCTCGGCGAGAACCTCTGGTATTCTCTCACTCACGGAAAGTATGGCGATTTTGCCTTCTTCTGCTTACGTCCCTTTGCTCCCTTTTCTCGTTGCGCTTATATCTGGCGGGCCCGGAGCTCCTTCTTACTCTTTGCCTCTATGGTAAGCAAATGGATTTGAAAGAATTGGCCACCTGCGGCGAGCGGCCTTTGCCCACACGTGCCGTATCGGTCGGGTCCCACTTCCAGCTTAGCGCGCCCGTGCCGACAACGCGATTAGGCGGCTGCGCCAGATGCCGGAAGCGGACCTTGCTCGGCGAGCTCGAAAGGCGAAGCGGCGGATCGGCTTCCTACCACCCCCGACTTGCATCACAATGTTTAATTAATGACCAAGCCGCGCCGGTAATCGAACCAGTCCGGTACGTCGGTGCACCAGTTGCCGACATGCTCGGCGGCGTCCAGCAGCAGCCGCACGGCGGTCGGGTCCCGCGGGAACAGCGCCAGGTAGCGCGGCAAGAACGTTAACGGCTCGGTGCCGGTTATGCAAGCCTCCGCCCTCCGGCTCTTAGCCGTGGTAATCATCGCGTGTCACCCACGCGGGCGAGTGCGGCAGCACGTCCGGGAACCTTTCGGCAAATCGTCCGTCTCGCGGGTGACAAGGTAGTGCGGGAACCACGCCAGGGCATAGTTCGCCTCGTCCTCCCCGCCGCCGTTGGGGCCGGGGCCGTCGCAGCGCACGCTCTGCGCCAACCAGTCCGACAACTCGGCGCGCAGCGCGGAGTAACCGGCGAAGCAGGCCTGCAGGTCCGGCGAACGATGGGAGGCCGTCCATCGATGGATTCGGCGCGCTACAGCTTCTGCCATGTAGACTGCGGAAGCCGCCGGCGTCCGAGGTGTAGCTCACGTACCGTTCGGACGGCTGAAGGGGGGGTGCGGTTCGACCATTGGCTGGCCTGTTATGACCTTGTCCGTGGGGGACGTTCCATCCATCTCCGGTCTCTTTTCGTCCTTCCAGTTCTCTTCGCCCTGCTTCACTTCGCATCATCGTCTTGACTATCCGGTCGCTAGCATCTCTATAATGGTTTGGACTTGGAAGGTTCCGTCCCTGTCTTTCCTTCGTTTGAGCTGTGCGGGTGGCAGACGACGCGCCACTCGCCGGTCGCCACATCCACGATGAGCAGCCCCCGGTCGGGGTGGTTGGTGTCGCAGACGATGCGCGTCCCGGCGCGGTTCGGGGCGATGTGCCACGCGTTGAGCCTCGCGATCGTGTCGACCTCGCCTGAATCCCACCGCAGGCGGCGCAGCGCCCGCGGCCATTCCACGAACACGACGTCCGACCGGCCGAGAAAGGTCTCATGCACCACGAACTCATCGTTGTCGTGCTCGTACAGGCACGCCAGCCCGGTGCCGTCGCGCCGGACGCGGAACATCCGCGGCGCCGGGATCGCCGGCGAACTCGATCCAGTCGGCGTCGACCGGGTGGAACTGCGGATGGATCACCGTGCGGGGGAACTCCAGGACGACGCGCCCGCCTTCCCCCGACGTGGCGGCGACCAGGAGCCCGTTGCGGCCGTCGCGTTTCATGGCCGTCACCACCCACGCTCCGTCCGCGGATACGCTGCACTCGGCGAGCTGCGCGCCCGGCAGGCGATGGATGACGCGGCGCGAGAGGTCGCGGCGGCTCACCGCCTCGATGACGCCGGCCGGCTCGGCGCCCCCTTCGCTGCGGGTGTAGAGCACCTCGCTCCCGTCGGCGGCGATGACCGCGGAGTAGGGGTGCAGGCCCTCGACGTCGGTGAGCCGGCGAATCGGTCCGTCCAGCAGCTCCACCTCGTAGAGCTGCGGCGTGCCGCTGCGGTACGAGGTGAACAGCACGTGCCGCTCGTCCGGCGTGAACGCGCTGGTCAGGAAGAACGGCGCGTGATTGATGCAGGAGGCGCTGGTGAGTTGGTGAATGGTGGTGCCGGTAGCCGGATCCGTGCCGCTCCGGTGCTCGCTGGGCTGCGGTGTTCCGAGCGCGGGTGTCACGGATTTCAGCGTAGCTGAGGGCCGATGCGGTGTCGATGAAGCCGCGGGCCCATTTGATTCCCGCATGGGGCGGCGGTAAGCTGCCGCCGGACACGGCAATGGCGACGAAGGACGAAGTACGCAGGGTGCTCCGCTGCGAGCCGGCGCCGCCGGGCGGACGCCCGCTGTTTCTGCCGGCGGTCTACGAGCACAAGGCGTTCTTCCTGGACGACACGCCGTCGCACGTGTCGCGGGACGCCGACCTGCTGGCGCGCGCCGTGCTGGCCGAGTACGCCGCCCTGCAGCCGGATGCGCTCACCATCGGGCTGGACGTGTACAACCTGGAGGCGGAGGCGGCCGGCTGCCTGGTCACCTTCTACGAGGGCGACGACACCAGCATCCCGGGCATCCGCCCCGGCGACCACGTGGTGAATCAGTCCACGGACTTCGCGAGCCGCCCGATCCCCAACCCGCTGCGCGACGGGCGGATGCCGGTCAACATCGAGGCGACGCGCCGGGTGGTCGCGGAGCTGGGCGGCGACGTCTGGATTCGCGGCGCCCTGTCCGGGCCGTTCTCGCTGGCGGTCAGCCTGATGGGGGCCGAGGAGTTCTTCCTGTGCTGCTGGGACAGTCCCGACGCGTCCAAGCGGCTGCTGGAGTACTGCACCGCCATCATCAAGGAGTTCGGCGCCGCCTACGTCGATGCCGGCGCCGAGGTGATCCTGTTCGACTCGCAGGCCTCGCCGGACCTGCTGTCCCCGAAGATGTACCGGGAGTACGTCCTGCCGTTCACGCGTCGATCGTCGAGCACTTCCAGCAGCTCGGCGTGCGCGACGTGCCGCTGATCATCGGCGGCAACACCACGCGCATCATCGACGCCCTGCTGGAGACCGGCGCCAACAACCTGCTCTGCGACTTCACCGCCGACTGGCCCGCGTGGTCGTCGCGCTGCCGCGAGCAGGGCCGCTCGGTGCGGCGCAACATGTCGCCGCAGTTCGTGGCGTCGGCCACGCCGGACGAGGTGTTCGAGACCGCTGGGCAGATGGTGGCCGAGGGGGCGGACCTGCCCGGCTTCATCATCGGCACCGCGGTGGTCCCCTACGGCACGCCGACCGCGAACCTGCTGGCGGTCCGGAGCGCCTGTACCGCGGACAACGGCGGCTGAATCGGGGTTCCAGGCGATCCGGCCCGTCACGAACTCACGATAGGGGGCGTCCTCCGTGCGCTCCCCGCAGGGCAGCCAGCCGAGGGAGCCGGAATACGTGCGACAGAGTTCGTCGATGTACGCCGCTTCGGGACCGACCCCGGTAAGAATGGTGAGGTCCACGTCCGCGGTGAGCCGCGGCTCTCCCCATCGCTGGAGCGCCAAGCCGCCTATGAAGCAGAACCTCCAGCCGCGGTCCCGGCAGAAGAGCTGGACATCACTCGCCAGCAGAAACAGATCGCGCATCCCGCATTCTGGCGAAGATCGCCTGCTGCTCCACCAGTCCGGACGTCGTTCGGACCGGGCCGCCGAGCGTCGCTTCGAATGCACCGCTCAGAGACTCGATGTGGTCGGCAACGCGCACGCTGCGGAGCTCTACCGGTCGGAGGAGATCTTCCGCGGCGAGATCCGCTGCGACCTGCATCCGCGCTGGACCCCGGACGGACGGGGACTCACCATCGATGCCGTCCCCGAAGGCGACCGCCAGATCCCTCTGATCGACGTCTCCGACGTGGTGGGCTGACGGCTGCGCCTCCGTGCCCCCTGACGCGCTCGACGGAAGGCGCGGCTGGTGACTACGATCAGAGATCATGAGTGAGAAGGCGACGGCGCCCATCCGTCTGACGGACGAGCAGTTGGCCCGATTCGGCCGCGACGGCTTTCTGGTGGTGGAGAACCTGATCGACCCGGAACGGGTCGCGGCGCTCGGCGACCGCGTCCGGGAGTACACGCACGGCGGGTCGCGACGCCGGTTCGCTGCGCGTGCAGATCGAGCCGCGGGTGACGCGGGGAGAGGAGCGGGTCGACCACCCGGAGACGGCATCCGCAAGATCGACGGCCTGGTGGAGCACGATGACCTGTTCCGGGCGCTCGGCACCGATCCCTCGATCGTCACCATCATCACGCAGATCCTGGGACCGGACGTGAAGATGTTCCGCAACGCGCTGCTGATGAAGCCCCCGCACGTGGGCTCCTCCAAGGGCATGCACCAGGATGCGCCCTACTGGCCGATCGAGCCGATGAGCGAATGCTCGTGCTGGTTTCGCCCTGGATGACGCCACGCCCGAGAACGGCTGCATGGGCGTGCTGCCCGGCGCGCACAAGCGCGGCGCCCTCCCGCACATGCACGTGACCGACGACTACGTCGTCGAAGACGAACGCTACTCGATGGACGACCTGGTGCTGGCGCCGGTCAAGGCGGGAGGCGGCCTGTTCTTCCACGCCCTGCTGCCGCACTTCACGGCGCCCAACTCCTCCGACCATTGGCGCCGCGCTATCGCCCTGTCCTACATGAGCGCGCGCTCACGGTATACGAAGGGCGGTCCGGGGCCGGAGTACCTGAGCATCGCTGGCAGAAACCATCCCGGCTGCGTGCGCTGACGCCTGGGGGCGTATCGACAGGAGGTTGCCGATCAGCGGTTCCATCACGTTGCGACAGATGACCGAAACGGACATGATGTTCGCGGACCGCCTCCGCGACATGGCCGGCTGGAACCAGCGTCTTCAGGATTGGAAGCGGCTGCTGCGGCACGACCCTCAGGGCTGTTTCGTCGCCGAGTGGCACGGTCAACCGGCCGGTACCGCGACGACCACGACCTATTCGAAAGATCTGGCGTGGATCGGCATGGTTCTCGTCGATTCCGATATGCGGCGGCGGGGGATCGGCAAGGCACTGCTCATGCAGTGTATTGAGCATCTGCGGCAGTCCGGGGTGAATTGCATCAAATTGGACGCCACTCCGTTGGGCAAGCAAGTCTATGATCCGCTCGGATTTGTTTCGGAATGGAGCCTTTCGCGGTGGCAGACAACGGAGCTCTCGGTCTGCCCGGAGCGGATTGAGACAGCATCCGACCCAGGCCCACGGCCGCTGGACAGCCGCGACATCGGCTGCGTCGCGGATCTCGACGCAGCCGCGTTCGGCGTTGCCCGCAACCGGATGCTGTCGATATTGGCTACCCAATCGGCAACGCGTGTCCGCAGGGATGCGGCTGGTCGGATCGTGGGGTACGGCATGCTGCGGCCCGGCGCACGCGCGTATTACCTCGGACCGATCGTCGCCGAAGATGAGTCGAGCGGCATCGCGCTTGCCGACAACTTGCTGGGGAGTATTCCGGCGCGTCCCCTGTACTGGGACATTCCCGACGCGAATCAAGCCGCAATTCGTGTCGCTCGACGTTACGGATTGCATCGCCAGCGTACGCTGACACGGATGTATCTCGGCGAAAACACCCGACCCGGCACCCGATCAGCGCAGTGGGGCATCGCCGCTCCGGAAATCGGCTAGTTCAAAATGAGTGCAACTTACGAGGGCATCATTCTGGGAACGGGTCACAACGCTCTGGTGCTGCAGGCCTACCTCTCCCGTTGCGGCCTCAAGACGCTGTCTCTCGAACGATGGGACGTTCCCGGCGGAGGGCTGGCGACGATGGAGAATCCGCGCGTGGCGGGAGTGATGCACAATCTGCACTCATTCTATCACCGCGCCATGAACCGGATGCCGTGGTACGAGGATCTGGGAATGGCCGCCCAGGGCGTCCGCTATATCGAGCCGGAATTGAACGTCGCGCTGCTAACCGACGAGGGCCGCAGTTTGCAATGGTGGACGGATTTCGAGAAGACCCAAGCGTCAATCCACGAATGGTCGCCCGCCGATGCGGACACGCTCGCGCGGTGGGTCGACGATTTCCGGCCGATTGTCGAGCACATCCTGATTCCGGAGTCGCGATCACCACCCTTGGAGCCGTCGCTGCGGCGGCGCATTCTGGGCCAATCGCGCATGGGCCGCCGGTTGCTTGAAGTGTCGGCCCTTTCTCCCGTGGAGTTCGTCACCCGCAATTTCACGCATGACGTGATCCGGGCGGGTCTGCTGTTCTTCAACGGATTGCGGGAAGTCGATCTGCGAATGAAGGGTTTTGGCCATTCGATTCCGGCGCTGCTGGCGTCCGACGGCAAAGCGCAGATGTGCGTCGGCGGATCGGCGCAACTGGCTCGAGGCCTTGTGGCAGACATCGAAGCTCACGGAGGCGAGATTCGGTGCGGTGTGCATATCCGGCGGATGCTCGTCAGGCATGGCAGAGTGAGTGAAGTGGAATTGGATGATGGCGAGCGGTTTCAGGCGACTCGCTTTGTAGCCTCGGGCCTCAATCCTCAGCAGACATTTCTGCAACTGTTGTCGAAATCGGATGTCGGTCCTGCTCTGAGAAGGAGCGCGCAGAGCTTTCGTTACAATGTGATCGCGCCACTGTTCGGCTTGCACCTGGCGCTGTCGGAACCGCCCTCCTACACCGCCGCGGCCGCGGAACCGGAACTGCAGAGCGCGTTCATGCTCATTCTAGGTCTGCAACGTCTCGAGCAATTTCAAGACATCGTCGATGCTCACGAGCGAGGCCGGATCCCGCAGACCGTGGCCTGGGGATCGTGCCACACGCAGTTCGATCGCAGCCAAGCCGGGCCGGGCAAGCACGCGGCGTTTCTGTGGGAGAAAGTCCCCTACCACCTGCGCGGTGACGCGTCCAACTGGGAAGCACAGCGTGACGCTCACGGCGAACAGTTGCTCGAGTTCTGGCGGCGCTTCGCACCGAACCTCCGTGATGACGTGATCCTTGATCGATTTGCGCTCAGTCCGTCTGACACGGTTGACCGGCTTCCGAATATGTCCCAGGGCGATCTGCTGGTCGGCTCGTTCGCCAACGACCAGGTTGGCTACAATCGTCCGTTCCCAGGAGCCGGTTGTTATCGCACAGCCCTGGAGGGTCTGTATTTGTGTGGTGGTTCCACGCATCCGGGGGGAAACGTGACCGGGCTGTGCGGATACAACGCCGCCTCGGTGATCGCCGCGGATCTCGGCGTCAGACGATGGTGGAATCCACCGGAACTGATGGAAGAATTGAATGCTGTGCGCGACTAGCCATGGACGGGGTCACGGCAGCTCCCAGAACGTCCCGGTGATGCCCGTGATGCCGCGCCACTGGGCGTAGCTGGTGGTGAAGATGCGCGTGTCGTCGAGCTGGATCGACGACGTGTAGCCGTGGTCGCTGCGGGCGGCCGGCGGAGTCTTGCGCACCAGCCAACTGGTCCGGCCCCAGCTCCGGCCGCCGTCCTCGCTGATCGACGCGTAGATCCCATACGGCGGCAGGCGGCGGCCGTAGGTCAGCAGCAGCCGGCCGTCGCGCAGTTTGGCGAGGCGCGGACAGGCGCCGGAGCGGACGCCGGTCACCTCGGGCCGGCTCCAGGTCAGTCCGGTGTCACGGGACTCGTTCTGCCAGAACAGGGTGTGGGAGCCGCCCTCGCCCATGGTCGTACGGTGCAGGCCGAGCAGGTGGCCGGGTTCGAGCTCGATCACGCCGGGCTCGTTGTAGTCGCGGGTGTCGGCGCTGCCGCGGGCCATCACTGTCCCTTCGGACCAGGTAGCGCCGCCGTCGTGCGAGCGGTACAGCACCGACGAGCTGAGGTTCGCGCCGCCGAGCGATGCGTAGGCCGGGATCAGCAGCGTACCGTCGGCGGTGCGCACCGGCGGCGCGCAGGCCTGCGCCTTGTCGCCGACCAGGATGGCGTGCTCCAGGCGCCAGGTCAGCCCGTAGTTGTCGCTCCAGCACCACAGCGCCCCCACGTTGCTGTATGCGAACGCGGGAATGCTGGTGTCGGGACTGCCGCCGATATACGGGTACTCCTTGCGGGGCGGGTCACGGAAGGCGATCCGTTCGGTCTCGTGCCAGTGCACGACCTCGTGCGCGGCCAGCGCGCCGCCTACGTTGCCGTCGCCCAGGTAGATCAGGCCCAGTTCCTGCCCGCCGCCAGCGCCCATCTGCGAGGCGGCGTCGACCTGCCAGCTTTCGCCCAGGTCGTACGAGCGGATCAGCGTGATGATCGAGCGCGGATGGGTGTGCCTGATGCCGTTCACCTTGGGCGCCTGGCGGAATGCCACGAGCAACTCGTCCCCCTTCATGCGGATGACGTGGGGAAAGGCCGAGTAGGATGCGGGGTCGTAGAACAGGCGCGTCTGCCGGGCGGCAGGCGCCGGGCGTGGCGAGAACTCCTCGGCCATGTCACTCATCGGCGTGTCAGCCTCCTGCCAGCTCGGCGGCGAGCTCGCGGGCTCGCTCGAGGGTCGTGCTGCGCTCTTCCAGCATGCGCCGCCGCACCGCGTCCCGCAGGTCCGCGTCGGCGTGGGTGGTCACGAATAGCGCGCGGCTGGTGATGACCGCATCGATCCGCTGGGCCACGCGCCGCACCTCGGGGCCGCTCGTGTGCGCGAGCCAGTTCGCGAAGCCGCCTTCCGGCTGGTAGCGGAAGTCGCAGGAGATCCGCAGCCGGTCCGAGACGTTGGGCTGGCCCTTGTGCAGGGTCATGCTGCTGAAGACCACCAAGTCGCCGGGGCTGTAGGTGGTGGTGACCCACTGGTCACCCGCTGACGGCGCCTCGAAGGTCTGCGTTTTCGCGGTCTGCAGGGAGCTCGACGCCGATCCGGTCTGCGCGCGCACACCGCCCCGATGGGAGCCCCGGCACCACGGCAAGCCCGCCGAGCCGCTCGTCGATGTCGGTGAGCGGGATCCACGCCGTGCTGAAATCCTGCGTCAGGTAGCCGAGTTGCGGGCTGCCGTCCTGGTGGGCGCCCACGCCGAGCGGCGCCGCTCCGTCGGGGTCGGGCGGGATGATGCGGAGCAGCCGCTGTTCCCAGACCTGCACCGGGCCATCGTAGATCGCCTCCATCACCGCGCGGACCTCGGCAGATTCCGCGAGCCGGTTGAAGGAGTCGAGCTGCACGGCCCGTTCGTAGTAGGCCATGTACTCTTCTTCGGTGGGAGCTGGGCCGCCGCTCCAGATCGGCGGCGCGGCGGGGCTCTCCAGGATGTTGCAATCGTGCAGGACGGCGATGAGGTCGTCGCGCACGCGCTGCACCAGATCGCGGTTCAGCGCGCCGCGCAGCAGCAGATAGCCGTGCTCGGCCAGCAGGGTCTTGAGGCGGGTCGGATCGCCGGCTGCCGCGGTGGCGTCGAGCATCGACGAGCCGGCATCGGGCATCAGGTGCTCCGCTTCGCGCGAAACGCCTCTATCCCGGCGCGCGCCGCGTTGGCGAGCAGGACGAAATCCGGCCCGTATCCCAGGTACGTGAGTCCCCGGTCGCGCCAGTGCGTCAGGTCTTCCGGGGTGGCGGAGCCGATCCCCAGGGCGACCTCGCTCGCCGCGCACACGTGAATCGCGCGCTCCACCACCTTGTCCATTGCCGGATGCGGCATCTCGAAGGGGCTCACGCCGTGATTCAGGTACAGGTCCCACAGGCCCAGGTACAGCGCGTCGACCCCCGGGCACCGCGGTGATCTCCTCCAGGTTCTCCATCGCTTCGCGCGTCTCCAGCAGAAACGAGACCAGGATGTTGTCGTTCGCCCGCCCGAGGTAGTCCGGGTAGTCCAGGGTGTAGTGCGACGCCCGCAGCGGGCCGAAGCCGCGGATCCCGTCGGGCGGATAGCGGGTTGCCCGCACGACCTCCCGCGCCTGTTCGGCGCTACGCAGCAACGGCACGATGATTCCCAGGGCGCCGATGTCCAGCGAGCGCTGGATGAACACCTGGTCGGAGCTGGGGATGCGGACGATCGGGATCGCGTCGGTGCCGTTGATCGCCATGAGCATGTGCTGGACCTCGGCCATGTCCAGGCCGTTGTGCTCCATCTCGATGACGATGAAGTCGAATCCGGAGTGGGCCATCTGCTCGGCGACGTTCGGGCTGCCCATGCCCAGGAAGCAGCCCACCGTTGCCTGGCCGGCCTTGAGTTTCTGCCTGACGTGATTGGTTTTCATAATGGTGGTTACCGGCGGCGCCGGTCGCACGAGCATAGTCGGCGGCCGTCTGCCTTGCCAGCGCACCCCTTTCCGTCGATGGTATCGCCAAGATGGCGACGTACCCCGAACTGATCGACAAGGCCGTCGTGGTGACGGGCGCGGGTCGCGGGATCGGCCTGGCGATCGCGCGCCGCTTCGTGGCCGAAGGCGCGCGGGTGCTGCTGACCGACATCGCCGAGGGCGACAGCGCCGAGGTGATCCGCCTGGCCACCCAGCGCGGAAACGCGCGCCGCGTATCAGCCGATGGACGTGACGTCCCGGGAACAGGTGGAGCAGGCGATCGCCCGCGCGGTGGAGCTGTTCGGCCGCCTGGACTGCATGGTCTGCAACGCCGGCATCTGCGAGGTGGCGCCGCTGGTGGAGGCGAGCGAGGCAAGCTTCGACCGGCAGATGACGGTCAACGCCAAGGGCGCGTTCCTGGCCGCCACGGCCGCCGCCCGGCAGATGCTCCGCCAGGGGGACGGCGGGCGCATCATCATCAACGCCAGCGGCGCCGGCAAGATGGCGCCGGGCAAGGAGGCGCCGCTCGGGGTCTACGCCATGAGCAAGCATGCGGTGGTGGGCTTGACCCGCCAGTTGGGCGTGGAGCTTGCCGCCGACGGGATCCTGGTGAACTGCATCTGCGGCGGCATCGTCGACACCGGGATGTGGGACGTGATCGATCGCGGCGTCACCGGCCGCAGCGGCGCCGAGCCGGGCTCGTTCAAGGCGGAGGCAGTGGCATCGGTGCCGATCGGGCGGATCCAGCGGCCCGAGGACATGGCCAATGTGGTGGTCTACCTGGCCGGTGACGACGCCGACTACATCGCCGGGCAGACGCTGAACGTCTCCGGAGGCCGCCTTCCTTACTGAGGGCTGCTCGGTCGGCTTGGCTCCGCCGCGGCTCAGAGCAGCAGGAAGCCGGGCACCCGACTACGCGCTTGAGCACCCCGACCAAACCGACGGCCACCGCACTATCCACGGCGCGGTGGTCGGTGACCAGCGTCATCCGTATCATGGGCTGGGCGGATTCAACAGCGCCCGAAACTCCTCGACCGCGCTAGCGCCCAGGTTGCTGATCGTGAAGGCGCCTCGTGTCCGACTGCGATCCGCTGCCTGATCCGGTCCGGGAGTACCCCCTCCAGCATCCTGTCCTGAGCGAACGAGGACGTGAACGGCTCGCGCCGGGATCTCTGGAAGGCGATAGCCGTGATACTCCGACGCCTTGACTGACCGGATACCGGCTTCGTGTGGTAGGGTTCGCCCGCACCATCATGGAGCGAACCCGGAGGATCGAACATGACCGACAGGGAAACCCCCCGCGACCCTGCCCCGTCCCAAGACGCCGCCCACGTTTCCAAGAGAACGACCATCCCCGCGAGCGACGTCGGCGTAACGCTCACCATCAGCAATAGGCGCTCGAGGAGCTCGACCGGATTCAAGAGGAGACCATCAAGGCCGCGCAGGAGGGTCAGAAGTTCTCCTGGCGATGAACTTCGCCAATAACTGCCCCCGCCTCGCGCACCCTCGGATTCTCCACGCCGTACATGCTCATCACCTACACCGTCCAGTCACTCGACACCGCCGACGCTTGGGACAGCCTCGCTCACGCCCTCGGTGATGGACACCCCGAGGTAGTCCGCAACACCATTCGCCATCTCCGCATACTGGGCGCGAAGTCCTACGTT